GTTTGAAATTTAAAATATAATACCATTTCTTTTAACCCCTCCCCCAAAAGAGAAATACTTTGGAATAAATCTAATAAAATGAGTACAAGATCTCTATGAGGAAAACTCTGGTGAATAAACTTTAAAAATCTAAGTAAATGAGAGGTATTTCACGTACAAGTAAAGGAAGACTCAATACTGCCAAGTTGTCAGTTCTTCCCAGCTGGGTCTATAATCAATGTAATGCCAACCAAAATTCCAGCAAGTTACCTTGTGGATGTTGACAAAGTGATATTAAAGTTTACAAGAAAAAGCAAAAGACTCAGAATAGCCAACACAATATTGAAGGAGAAGACAAAGTTAGAGAACTGTTCCTACTGAATTTCAAGACTTACCATACAGCTGCTATAATTAAGACAAGGTGGTACCGATGAAAGAATGGCCAAGTAGATCAACAGAACAGAAGAGAGAGCCCACAAGTAGGCCCGCATAAATGTCAACTCATCTTTAACAAAGGAACAAAGCAATACACTGGAACAAAAATAATATTTTCCACAGATGTTGCTAGAACCACTAGACATATCCATGCACGCACACACACAAAATAGAATCTACACACAAACTTTACACTTTCCACAAAAAGTAACTCAAAATGGATGAAGGACCTACGTGTAAAGTAAAAAATTATAAAATCCCTAGAAATTAACAAGAGAGACTCCAGGTGGCCTTGGATTTGGCAATGTCTTCTTAGGTACAACACAAAAGCATAATCCATGAAAGAAAAGATTATGTTTTATTATGAAAGATGCTGTTAGGGGAATGAAGGCCCATTGCCACATGGCACAGAGGTAAGTGCTGGGCAAGGTTGGAGAAAGTCAAGGTGAGCATGCGCACTGGGACTCTGAGGCACTTTGTACCACACCTGGGCCCTGTGACATCTTCAGCAAGCCAGATGGGCAAGCAGCCATTCTTAAAAGAGAGAGAGCGAGCTAGAGAGACACACAGAGAGAAAGAATAAATGAAAAATAAACCACAGACTGAGATAAAATATTTGTGAAAGACACATCTGATAAAGAACTGTTATCTAAATTATACAAAGAATTTTTAAAACTCAGCAAGAAAACAAACACCTCAATTAAAAAGATCAAACATTTCACCAAAGACAGATAGCAAATAAACAGGCAAAAATATGTTCAATGTCATATGTCATTAGAAAATTGCCATTTAAAACAATAATGAGATATTACTACCTGTATTCTATGGGGTCCATGTCAAAACCCATAGAATGTACAATATCAAGTGTGAACCCTAATGTAAAAAACAGACTTTAGCTAATAATAACACATCGATATTGGCTCATTCATTGTAGCAAATGTACTACTCGAACACGAGAGGTTGCATACTCTATGATTCCATTTACCTAACAATCTCAAATTGACAAAATTACAGACTTGAAAATCATATTAGTGACTGCCAGGGGTAAAGGACAGGATGGCAGGGAAGGATTAGATGTGGTTATAAAAGCCCAACGTGATGAATCCTTGTGGTGATACAAACTATATTGCATACATTTGTATACAAAATGGATATTGTATAAGATACATTTATTATAATACAGCATACATTATTATATATAAATAACATAATAACATATATTGTATACTCTATGATACAATTATATTGTTTCAATAAGGAGCAGAATTGTAATTAGTCTGTAGCCTCACTCTGTCAATATCAGTAGTGATATACTACAATTTTGTAGGTACAGTTTTATAAGATGTTACCATTGAGTTACATGGGGGAAGAAGGAACATGGTATCTCTCTGTCTTATTTTTTACAAGTGCATGTGAATCTACAATCATTCCAATATAAAAAACAACTTAATTTTAGAAAAAGACAATGCAGTTTCTGTCCAGCTCTTTCTCTTGGGTCATGTTCATTTGAAACTCAACCCACTCTATGCTGTGAAGAAGCTAATCAGCAGCACAGACAGGCCATGTTGCCCTAGCTGAGATGCCAGCCAGCATCAAGCACTAGACCTCTGAAGGAGCAAGCCCACAGATGACTCCAGCCTCCAGTCATCCTCCCAGGCGCCTTGAGCTCCATGTGGAGCAGAGACTAGCTGTCCTCGTCAAGCCCTTCCCAAATTGCAGATTTGTGTGCAAAATAAATATTTGTTGTTGTTTTCAGCAACTAATTTTAGAGCAGTTTGTTATAGAGCAATAAGTAACTGGATAAAAGAGATCACTTTTGTCCATGAATGTTCCACAGAAAAAGAAGACAATGGCTTTTTCATTGAAACTTGATGTAAAGCAATGATGGCAATTTTTGAAGTATCATCAAATTATAGGTTTGAATAATACATACCGGCTTCATTCCAATCAGTCTTAATTAGAGAGGTGTTATTATAGCTGCCATATCCCAAATTACAAATTGGGCACATTTGAAATTTGGTTAAAGATTATTATGCCATTTATGGGCGGCAACAGGAGGCACTTTGAGAGATATAGTTTGGATACCAAAATGAAATATCTGAGTTTTTCAGGTATGGTATAGATTATTTGAAATTAGGACTGTTGAATTAGAAGATCTGAGATGCCTAAATAGAAATATTTAAGATTATTATTGACATATAATAATAAGTTATTATTATTGCCAAGTGAATTATTATGAATTATAAATTATCTTAGCATATAAAAAATCCAAATATCTTACAACTCTAATTGACTTTTAATGTCAAACATCTAAATATTCAGTTCTGCTTGCAAATGAATCAGGTTATCTATAAACCCTCTCATGTATGATTAGGCATTTATATTTGTTCAGTGGTAATACTCTGCCACGTTTAGCATGACAGACACACGAAGGCCAGGTAAAAAATCAGACTGGACATAGTTAAGAGCCACTTTCTTCCAAACATTGTTTCTTCCATTCATCTCCCAATCAGCCTGTCTAACACTGGTTTATAGCCCCTTATCTTTTTCCAGCTGGGGATTTGTGGTTTATCCAGTCAGGTGCTGTTTTCTCCCTGGTCCTCCTAGCATTCCCTTACATCATTACTGGTAGTTTCTGGATTTATACCTAAGCAGACCACAAGAAGTTTTCCAGAATTTCTTCATACTCTTGGGCTCATGATTGAAAGTAACAGCTCAACATAATTGAGATTACTTTTTCTTCAAGTCTACTCTTGTTCTTCCAGAACACTCTAACCTCATTTCTCTTTACCCTCTTTTACGTTGAGACACTTCTACATTGCCACATACCTAGCCATACAACATGTGTGGGTTTTTTCTTGTTTTTTGCGGGGGCGGGGGGGGGGAGGGAGTGGCAGAGGATGGGGAGGGGATCACAACTCAGGTTTGAATACCAATTTCCCCTCTGGTTAAATATATATCCTGGGGCAAATTGTATAAGTTCCCTAAGCATTGTCATTCGTGAAATGGGAATAATAATGCCTCTTGGTAAGATTAATTGAGGTATCCTTTACTCCTCTCCCTTTTGTCTTTCAGACCCTATAATTTGGTGTTCTGATGAATGGTGTTGATTGAGTTGGACTGGGAGGCTGGCCTTAAGGGAGAATGGGATTTCTGGAGGTGATCGTGGGGAGATTTCTGGGCAAGGGCACCACCAGCAGGAACAAAGCTCTGAAGTAGCCTCAAGCCTGATGCTTTTGGACACTCACTGAGGAGCATGTATATTTTTTTTCTTTTGCCTTGTATTTGGAACTCTGTGAGGAGCAAGGTAAAGGATGAAAAAGACATGGAGAATACAAATAATGATATTAAGAATGGCTGTAATTCAAGAGAACACAAGAAAGAGAAGGGAAAACAAATCTTCTGAAAGAAACTAACAAAAAGATTGTAAGATATTATGAAAAAATGATTACTTTAAGAAATTCATAATCCCAAAAGGAGAAACATCTATAACAAAAATAAATTAATAAAAATTGCAAAAAAAATCATAATCCAGTCCCTAACACAGAATCAATTTTTACTTTCCCATATCTTATTCTGGATTTTGATCTTATAAAAGTATTGCTTCATGTGGTTGCAAGCTCAGCAAAACAAAGTTTGTATTAACATCTAATCCTGATGTCAACATGCTCTTTTAGATTATTTTCCACATTGCCTAGCTGGTGTGGCTCAGTGGTTGAGTGTGGACCCAAGCACCAAGAGGTCACCAGTTTGATTCCCGGTCAGGGCACATACCCAAGTTCTGGGCCCAATCCCCAGTGAGGGGCATGCAGGAGGCGGCCAATCGATGTTCTCTCTCATCAATGTTTCTATCTCTCTCTCCTTCTCCTTCCTCTCTCTCTAAAATCAATAAAGGAAAAAAAGTAGCTAGGTTATATTCCACATTAATTATTTAAGACCAAAATAACCAAGTCTAGCTTTTGTGTCTTTCCCAGTGTCTCATTATTTGGGTCACAGAAACCCTGCAGAATAAATCAATTTAGCATGTGTGTCCCTGACTCAAGTAACGTCGAAGCAGATCAGAAAAACCGCATATGCTCTGGACACAGACTAGATATATTCACCATTCACCAAATTGCTGCATCCCTTTGGACTCGGACTCCTTAACAGAGGCTGGAGCTGAGCAGCAACTAGTGTGTGGCCATTGGCCGGCATGCGTCGCTTTGGGCCAGTAGGGGGCGTGTGAGCTCCAAGACACTGGCCTGAGTAGTCAGAGGGCGTGGCTCTGCATCCTTGACGGACAGCTAAGGATGCGGACGAAGATGAGGTAATACCACCCTGAAGAAGAACAGCGTGGGGGTGTGGGCGTGTGTGTGTATGTGAGTGTGCGGGTGCGCGCGTGAATCGGAGACACTTGGTGTCTCGGAGCTCTCATTGCGCACACCTATCACGCTGCATTAAAAAAAAAAAGAAGAAAAAAATTCCATTCCCGAGAGCGAGACGGCAAAGTTGAGACCTGGCGACAGCCGTGGTCCCAGGGCCGTGTCATGGCGGGTCGCCTTTCGGCGTCTAGGGACTGGGGTAACCCCCGCAGGCGCGGATTCGCCTTAGCGTCCCGCCTGGGAGGAGCGATTCATTCTAGAAGCAACTGAGCGGAGCCACAGGGAGGGGGAGCTCTCGCCGAGCGGCGACTGCGTTTCGTGCGGCGGAGCAGCGGGGAGGGAGGGGAGAGGGGAGGGAACACGGGGCCGTTCCGAGCGCGAGCGCAGGGCGAGCTCCCATCCGGGCGACTGCAGAGCCCGAGGCGCAACTGGTGCGAGGGCCGGTGCTGGCCTCGCCGTCAGTGCCCGCTCGCGCCCGCCGGAGCTCCGGCGCGTGTCCGCCGGGTGGCTTTGCAAGGCGGGGGCCTGTTTGCAGAAAGCCGGACATTTGCATGAAGCCACCCGACCCCACGGAGCAGTGGCAGCAGCGGCGGCAGCGGCGGACCCCGGCGGCGGCGGCAGCGCGCGGTCGCAGCCAGGCGGCCCCGGTCTCCGGGCCCCGGTGGATGCGCGGCTGGGGAGCGGCCCATGGGCCGGAGCTGAGGCTGCCCGGGGCGTCGGGGCGCGGGGCGGGGTGCGCGGTCGAGGCCCGGAGAAGGCGGCGCAGGAGGAAGCGGAGGAGGGCGGGCGCGCCGAGCCCGGGAGAGGGACAGCGCAGCGCCGCCGCCGCAGCCCCGGGCTCGCCATGCTCCTGGCCTCGGCGGTGGTGGTCTGGGAATGGCTGAATGAGCACGGCCGCTGGCGTCCCTACAGCCCGGCCGTGAGCCACCACATCGAAGCGGTGGTCCGCGCCGGGCCCCGCGCCGGGGGCAGCGTGGTGCTGGGCCAGGTGGACAGCCGGCTCGCGCCCTACATCATCGACCTGCAGTCCATGAACCAGTTCCGCCAGGACACGGGTGAGCCGGCCGCCCCTGCCCCGCCCTCGCGCACCTCCCCTCCCTACCCTGAGATCCCCCACCCCGGCCCACCCGGTCCGCACCTCCGTGCTGTGGTGTCCCCTAGAGGTGGTCGTGGAGGGGGCGTTTCGTCCCGTGATCCCGATCCCCCCTGCAATAAACGCCCAAGCAATTAGTGTCAGTGCTCAGGTTATGCAAACCCAGCTGCACCCTAGCCCTAACAACTCCTCTTTTGCACCCCTTTAAGCGTTTGGTGGGCCCAGGTCCTCCCCTGTGAAAACCTGTGGGGCCACACCGCCCACAAGCAGCCCCAGCCCCTAGTAAATGTTTCCTGCTCCTGTCGCTCACTCACAGGCTGACCCTGCTTTGTCCCAGGCACCGGGCCTGCCACGTACCCTCCTGTCACCCCCACACACACACTGCTCTGCCCCTGTGTGGGGTGCCTTCCCACAGCGTGGTGCTGGGTGTGCGAACTGGGGGAAGGAAGCGGAGATTCCCTGCAGGCTCTAACGGTAGTCTCCCATGGGAAGGGCTGGGCTCAGCCTGGAGTTGGGGGGTTCCAGGGCTTGAGCGCCCTGGATGCTGTGGCATTGGCGAGGGCGGCTGCTCGTGCACTCCGAGTGCTGAAGCAACAGGCCAGAGCAGATGGAGAGAGGAGGGGGAGGAACCGGGCTCCGGAATGCCTGGCAGGGAGGCCGCTCCGCTCCCTTTGTCCGCGGAGGAGGAGGAGGCAGATTCCTAAGGAGAAACTGTCCCCAAGCTTCCTCCTAAAACCGTCGCCTATGAGGGACACTCTGGCCTCCCAGATCACTAAACTCTTTTCGTGAGAAGCAAGTGGCCACAGCGACCATCACAAACAATCTCACTTCCCAGCTGACAAGCCTTCCCATCACAAGGAAGAGAGGTGGCAGGGGGGAGGTCGGGCGGGGGTCACTGGCGGGAGGGGCAGGGCAGAGCTGCATCTCTGCTTGGCCCAGCACGTCCAGGCGTAGTAGATGACTTGGGACAGATCTGTCCTCATGAGGGTGGGAGGTTGCTTCTGGAATTCTGGCTGGGCTTTCCTGAGAGTGTGAGGAGTCTGGAGAGGCAGGTGTGGGGAGGAGGGACAAGAGAGGAGGACTGGGAGAGTCCCAGCAGGCCAGAGAACAGCTGTTGGAGCTGGGCATCGCGGCCCCCTTGGAAAGCCCCCACATCCTGTGCACTAATTAGGATTGTCATGGGAAAGGGGTAGCTTTCCACTCTCGTGTCCCCATCATTAGTCATGACTCTCAACAACCACTCTGCCAACGAGTTTGCAGACATTGGCCCAGTGAGTAAAGTTTTGGGACCAGGGGGTTGGGGGGAAGGGGTTTAAACCCTGGTGGGAAAGAGAGGGAGGTGGAGCTCAGATGATTGAGAGGAAGAGGGAATAAGGAGAATATGGGAGATTGAGAAAGAGGATTAAGTGTGGCTGAGGAGGAGGGAGAGAATGTAATTGTGCAATTTGGATAGAAGTTGTGGAGTGAAGGTCAGAGGCCTCAGATTGGGGGGCAGGTATGTGTCTGGAGAGGGGAACAGCTGAGCCATGGAGATGAGACCGGGAATACCAGCAGTTGAGACACCTGACAGGGAATTTCAGTCCTGCTCAAAATAAACAGGCAGGTGTGAGCTTTTCTATTTCAAACGAAATCTTTGCAGCACATGGAGAGCCATCCTGGTGACATAAAGGTCCCAGACCTTGTCCCGCATTTGGGTGGGAAGGGAGAAAGTTTAATCAGTGTTTAGGGGCATGGTACCTAGGAAGGATCACAGCCTGAAGGGTCCTTACTACAGAAAGTTCTGGAGAAAACTGGGTTGAAGGACAGAAGCTACCTCCCCCAGGTCTGATCGCTCTACCTGGTGGTCAGTTTAGTCCAAGGCTGGGCACCAGGCGGTGATCCGCCTGTCCTTGGGGAGGAGTGGCCAGGGCTCAGCAGACTTGACAGCGGAGACAGAGAGCTGGCCCTGGATCATTCTAAAGACTGCCTCGGGGTGCCTTTCCCATTCCTGTCTGCCTTCTCAGTGCCAGGCCCTGCACTGGGTGCTGGAGGCACTGGGCTGACTTCCCAGGAATGCTGGGTCTGTCAGGGAGCTTGTCAAAGTAGAATAGGGTCTCAGGGTTTCTGGAGTTGGAGCCCCCTCCTCTCCATTCTCCACCAACAGACACACAGTTCCTCTCAATATAGCTCATTGATGAGGCTGTGACAGGGTAGGAACTTTAAACCACAGGCTCCCAGGCAACCTCGGCCAGGCCCTGGCAATGTTTAATTAAGTTACCTACAGTCCCCTAAGCCATAGTTTGGAGCTGGAAACCAGAAACATCCCCATAAACAAAGGAGAGCTGGAAATCCCCTGTGAAGAGGCGATTCCTCTCTCTTTCCCGTGGCCCCTCTATGTGGGGACATTTCCTGACATGAGAGCTTTGTTTTTTCAGAAGTAGCCTGCCCTGCTGCCAAGGGCGTCCTCAGATTCCCAGCTCTCCTGGGCTCCAACCTCGTCCTGCTGTCTCCAGGGAGATGCCCAGGAGGGTGCAGACACCCTCTGCCGCCTGTTTGCCCTGGACCCTTCTTCCCCAGACAGCCTCTCAGTCTGAGCTCATCTGCATTCTGTGCTGGTCTCCTCTAAGCATCTGGGAGAATCTGGAAGAAGGGAAGCGATGGGGTGAGATAGAGGCGGCTGGATCTTGGCTGCTTCTAAAAGCCTCGGTGGGGTCCTCTCTGCCTACGGTCAGGTACCTCGCCTGGGGTGACCTTATGTTGTAGGACAGTGGCTGGAGCTCTGTACCTCAGCACTACTTCCCTCTGCGCCTTCCAGTGCACCTGCTGGCTGCCCTCTCCAAGGCCCAGGCAGCAAGATGGGGGAAGACCTTGACTGAGGGGGAGACATGACTCGCTCTCATCCTAGACTCACTGGCTTACAATGTGACCTTTAGCAAGTCCCTTAACCACTCAGGCCTCATTTTCCTCTGCAGAAAGAAGAACAGGCTTAAGATTCCTTCTGGCTCCTTTCTCCCCATCATGCAGATCGGCATGTGAATGGGTGTGGCCCCTCCACCAGTGAGGTTGCTGCTTAGAAGTGGCGTGGTGTGAGGGAGGGATCTTTCTAGCTCAGTTTTCTGTGCAGCTGGGACCTCTTTAATGTCTTTCATGTGGTGATAGGGCCAGATGGAGAGAGATGAAAGGGTGTGACAGAGCTGATGTTGAGGCCCCCACAATGCCCTCCACCCTCTGTGGGCACAGGAATGGAGGAAGCAAAGGGCGTGATGACCACATGACAGCTACACTTTAGGGGATGTTCCAACCACACTGCACACATGATCTTGTTGAATGCCCCCAGCGACCTTATGAACGATCTTTTGTTACCATTTTATAGGAAAGGAAGCAAGTTGAAAAAAGATTAAGTTATTCAGAGGTTTACAGCCCGCCAGTGGCGGAGCGAAGGTTCCAAAATCAAGTGCCCTGTGCTCTCCTCCTTCATGTGGCCAACCCGTATGGGGCACCTACTTCGCGCAGACACCGTCCCAGGGACGTGGGGTGAGGCGATAACAAACACCTAAGGTTTTGCCCTCATGGAACATTCTAGTAAGGGTGAGGGGTGCTGGGCACAGTCGATCTCTAACACAGTGTTGCACAGATGTGGGTGAAATGCCCTGGGGACCTCAGGTCATTCTCAGAAAGTGTTGTCTCTCACTTTCCAGAAGCTGAAATATCTTGGGTGCTTTGAGGTACAGGTGCCTGAGTTGCCAAGAAAAATGGATTTTCTTTCTCATTCTCCCCCCTTAGTCTGGGAGCATCCTTTATCGTTAACCCATCAGAGGCCATTCCCTTGGGTCACTGCACCTTAGGACCAAGTGGATTTCCTCAGATCATCTAGTTCACGGTCCTGGTTATAGAAGGTCCAGAATGAAAACAATCCACGAATGAAATCCCACCATCTCTCTTGTCCCACAACATTGGTTCTGAGGTCTGCCTTCTGTCCGTAATTAACCTGCCCATGGTCAAAGTCTCAGGACTGTGTGACTCATTCTGTCGTTCAGTCTTATTCAGGTGCCTGGCAGGTACAGGCATATGTGGAGACCATATGGCCCAGTGGTTGAAACGTTAGTGTGCATGATGAGAACTCACAGTGGTTGTCCACATGCTGATTCCCAGGCCCGGGCCCTGGAGATGCTGACCCCCAGGGCTGGAGGGCATTGCACACTGGGAGATTCTGAAACAGGTGATCCTGGAACCTCTCTTAGAAAGCATTCAGTCCCTCAAGGTCAAGTCCTACCGGTTTCCTCTCTGTAGGGTCCCTCCAGCCTGTCACCCCCTTTCATTTTCACTGCTAGCACCCTTGTTACTTTTCACTTAGAACTAATTAACAGAGCAGCTCTGGTCTTGTCACTTCTCTGCGTCACAAATGTCACTGGCTCCTCACTGCCTACAAATAAAACCCATCACAGCCTGGCGGGCCTTGGCCATTTCTGCTTATTGAAATTCTCCTTATCATACAGGTCTTCGGCTATTTGTCATCCCTTTCTTGCAATGTTCTCCAAACCATCGTTATTTTATTTAATATTTAATTATATTTATTGAGCCCCCAGGCCTAGGACATTGTAGAAAAGGGAGGTATGGCCCTGAGCACACATCTGGATGCCCGTTCTTGTGGGGTTGGGAGTCCAGTGGAGGGAGACAGACTTTCATCAAAGTAATCTCACAAATGAAGGTGTGATTGCACATCAAGATCAATGCTATCAGAAAAATAGGAATGGGCCTGGCCACTGTGGCTGTGGTTGAGCATCGACCCATGCACCAAAAGGTCTCTGGTTCGATTCCCATTCAGGGCACATGCCCAGGTTGTAGGTCCGATCCCCACTGAGGGGTATGCAGGAGGCAGCCAATCGATGTTCTCTCTCATCAATATTTCTATCTCTCTCCCTCTCCCTTTCTCTCTCTCTAAAATCAATTTTATAAAATTAAAAAGAAAAATAGGAACAGGAATTTGACCTAGTCGGGGCGGCACAGAGATCTGAAGGACGAGCAGGGAAGAGGATTGCTCGGGGGATGAGGGGAGGGACCAGCTTTGGGAAGAAGCCCGGAGAAGCATGGCAGTGGACTGAAGGAGGCTGGGCAGCAGCAATGTGGGCAGAGTGTCTTAGGTATGAGTCTGGTGGGTGGAGGGGCATCTCAGTCCTGAACTCGGGGGAAGTCATGGAAAGGATTTAAGCATGGTGGGGGTGTGGTCAGATGTTCTGCTGACATACATTTTGTTGGCATCCCTCCTGTGGCTATTCCGCCTCATAAATGGTCATTCACACACCTGTCTCCTTGGACTGTAAGCTATTTGAGGAGTGCCTAGGTCCTGGCGTGCCTTACAGCAGCTAGTGGGTGCTCAGCATACGAGATAAATGACGAGATGGCCAAGTAGCCGGAAGTCGTCAATCAATCACGGCCCGTAGCGGAGCCCTCATCCCTGCCAGGTACTGCAGGAAGCCCTAGAAAGCAAACACCTACACTGTGGTGTCTGTGTCCGCACTTAAAAAACAAGTGCCGAGACCCTGGTGCATCCCAGACTTCTGAAGGTGGGGCCTGGACTGGGAGAACCTTTCCAGAAATGGATGGCAAATGGCGTAGGACCTGAATGACCAGGAGAATGTCAGTAGGTAAAAGAGGCAAAGAAGGGATTTCAGTAGAAGGGACTCGATGAATAGTGGGGGGAGGCCCGGGAACTCTGAGGAACCCATGGGGATCTCAGGGGTGGGCTTCTCAGGAATGGAGGCCATGCTAGCACAGAGGAAGGTGCCCCTGAGGTGTGGGACAGCCGGGCAGGGTCTCCAGAGTTCTGGGGCAATTTCCAGGCAGCTCTGGGACTCGTAACACTGGTGTCAAAGTGCCTTTTAAGCACATTTGTGGAAATCGGTCAAGTACATTGTCCCTACCCTGGAAGGAATAGAAAATAGTGACCTTTAGGCTCTCCAAACTTAATTTCCTCATCTCTAAAAGGTGTTTTATAGGATTGCCATACATCCTATCCCAGAGCATATGTCTGGGACAGGTGAAGGCCCTCTCTAAATAACAAAGAAGGTACGAGTATGAGTTACATACAAACTCTCTATTTCTCCTCCTGCTCTTCTCCCCTTTCTCTCTCTGTCTCTGTCTGTCTCTCTCTCAGTCACACACACACACACATACACACACACACGCACAGCATCCCCTGAATTAAACTTGCCCCATGACTCCTCCATCCTGCTTAGACGTATAATAGAAAATAAATTACAATAATCATCACCAACTTTTCTTGAGTTCTTGCCATGTGACAGGTGCTATGGCAGAGCGTCATATTTATTCCTTCATTTCATCCTCAAATTTACCCTGTGAAGTACCTTTCCTGGGTCCCAAACAGATGAGGAAACTGAGGCTTAATCGCATGGCTGGAGGGCACAGGACCTCTGCTGTTGGACACAAAGCCTGCACTCTGTTCCCCAGCGAGAGGGCTACTTAGGAAGGAAATGGAGGCGAACCAGGGGACTACTGCTGTCCCCCTTCCTCCTGTCCTGCTGGCTGCCCCCATGTCCCCCAGCAGAGGTCCTGCTGCTGAATAGGGGATTGTTCTGCCTCTCCCTCCTGACTCTGAATGTTGATGTTTTGGGTCATTAAGGGGCTCGGAGATGGGGTAGGGGGTGGGTTATGACCCTGGCAAAGGCCTGAATAGCCATTGTTCCTTTTCTTCCCCCCTTGAATGGGATTCTGTCCCCATCCTGGTATCTTCCTCTGGGTTGGAGGAGGGGTGGGTCAGAGGCCGGAGAAGGGGAGCCTTTTCCCAGCACTTTGAGGGATAGTGCTCAAGATGATAGGTCTGGTGATCCCAGCCACCGGAGCTCTTGCCCGGCCTGGAGCTGGGCATCTTCAGCCTTGATGGCGATGCCCATGAAATGAGCCCTCGTTGGGTCTGAATTCAGGTTTGGGTGGGGAGGGGAGAAAGAGGCAACAGCTACAGGCTAGTGTTCCCTTCTTGTCCTGCAGGCTCGTTTCTGCTGTACTATTCCCCTGCTGTGACCTTGGCTTCGTCCCTACTCCCTAACCCAGCAAGACTGTAACAGGGAAGATGATCTTCTCTTTAGCAGGGTTGGGCTTCTTGAAAGAAAGACATTCAAGACAGAAACTTACTCTTATGGCCATTACCATTGTTGATGATATGAGACTTAACGCTGGGAAGCTTGAGAGTGTTCTCACCCTGATTTTCCTTTCTCTTCTCAGGGTAACAGGCCAGCCCGTTGGCCACTGTCTCTGGGCAGCCTTCCTGGATGGAGGCAAGGTCCCCCTCTGCCTTCTAGGTGTTCACGGCCCTGTACTCTTTTCTTCCATAACCCTAGAGCAAGTGACATTGAGAAGGCTAGGGCAGAAGGGATATGATATATAAGAGAACCTATTGTGTGTCAAGAGCCTGTGTGCCTTGGGGCCAAGGGAAATGCAAAACTTGGCATGTAGAGATGCATATTTGTTGGGTTAATCACAAAAACCATTAATTTTCACAAAACCTCAGCAAAGGAGTTATCATTCTGTATCTGGGGGGAGAAAGGAGGCTGGGGGTGTCTATATTCGCTAGTAAGTAAGCAAATTTGGCTGCAGACCAAGGTGTCCCCATTTCGGGCCAGGGGGTGCTCCTTCTGGTGGCGCACGTCCTCCCACGTCCTTCTCCTTGTAACTCGTCGGTTTCCACCCTGGTGTGGCTGCGGAGGCCTAAAAGGCAGGAATGAGTCTCCTTCAAAGCTGATACCTCAGCAGGCAGGCCCGTGCCTGGCACACAGTAGGACGCGTTTCATGTTTGCCTATGAATGAAACACAATTCCGTGTCACTCCTTGCTGACCCCGACCCTCTGCTCTGTCCCCCTCTGGCAGGGACCCTCCGCCCAGTTCGCCGCAACTACTACGACCCGTCCTCGGCCCCCGGGAAGGGCGTGGTGTGGGAATGGGAGAACGACAATGGATCCTGGACGCCCTACGACATGGACGTGGGCATCACCATCCAGCACGCCTATGAGAAGCAGCACCCCTGGATCGACCTCACTTCCATCGGCTTTAGCTACGTCATTGATTTCAGCACCATGGGCCAGATCAACCGGCAAACCCAGCGCCAGCGCCGCGTCCGCCGGCGTCTGGACCTCATCTACCCCATGGTCACCGGCACGTTGCCTAAAGCCCAGTCCTGGCCGGCCAGCCCCGGATCGGCCGCCTCGCCCCCTGGCCCGCCCTGCTCCTGCCCGCAGTGCGTCCTGGTGATGAGCGTCAAGGCGGCCGGGCCCCTGCAGCCCCCAGCGGCCCGCAGGAACGTGCCCCCATCCGGAGCGGTCAAGCTGCCCCCGCCACCAGGACCTGGGGCCAAGCCACTGGACAGCACCGGCACCATTCGCGGCCCGGTGAAGACCGCCCCAGCGCAGCCCATCCAGCGACAGGCCCCCAGCACGCCGGCAGGGGCGACTGCGGGCTCTCCTGCCAGCCCCCCAGGAGCCAACGGCAAGACGGGGAGGGTGGCCCTGGCGACCTTGAATCGGACCAACCTGCAGCGGCTGGCCATGGCGCAGTCCCGGGTGCTGATCGCCTCTGGGTAGGTGCTTGCGAGGCTTGCTGGGAGCCTCTAACCCTCAGGCAGGCAAAGGGTCGACCCGGGGGTCAGAGATGCAGGAAGGGCCGCCAGGGCTTAAGCTCCCTGTCATCTTGTCCTACCCCTGGCGGCCGGTGGAAGGCAGCCTGGTACGGTGGATGAGGGGCCTTTGGCCTTCGGGGGCAGAGCTCCGGATTCTAATTCTTCCTGGCCCCCTGATGGGGCAGCTTGTGCTTCCTCCTCTGTGATGCTGACAGTCATACTGGAGTCAGAGTTGCCCTGAGGATAAAGAGGTCACGGGTACCCAGTAATAGCAGGCAGCACTAACTGTGCTCCCAGTTTGGGGGATTTCATCACCTCAGTTAATCCTTCTCAGCAACGCTGAAGTGGGCATCTCGATCCCATTTTACACATGAAGAGACTGCAAGTTCACTTGCTCAAGGGCACATAGCTAATCCTCAGCAGAGACCAGTTTTCACACTACAGGGAGTCTGACCTCAGAGCCAGACTCATGACTCTGCGGAGCCCCTTCCCTGTCCAGCATGCACCATGGGGCCTGGCATACAGTAGGTGCCAAATAAGGGTTTGATCCTTTCCTCTGGCCTCTCTGGCAGCTGGAGGGGCACCTTTGGATGTAAGTAACAGCCCATATCAGTGTCCTTACCGCGTGCCAAACACATTCCCTGCATTGTCTCTGTTACTCCTTTGACAACCCGGTGATGTTGTATGATGATTCTGTGATGATTGCTTTTTACGATCTTCATGGTCTGCTCGACCATAAAATGGGAGAGACCCAGGGTCATGTGGTGCCTGCCACCTCTGCCTGCCAGGCCCTAGTGTCTTATGAGATTGGGCTCTCATAGCCGCCCAATCTTCCCTTTCTCCAGAGGCGCCTGGCCTGCAGCCCAGGAGCCCGGGGCAGTAGGGATGGTTCAGAGTTAGGCTGGATGCCTGAGTGTGAAATTCAGGCTGCCTAGAGGGTGATCTCTGCACATACAGCTTCAGCCCTGGGAGGAGAGAAGACGGGTATACCATAGGCTGAGGGTATACCTGCCTCTGCCAGTCGAGTAAGCCACAGAATCTTTGCAAGGTCCAGTTTCCTCCTGTGTGTCATGGGGATCATCATGCTCACCCTGCCTGCCCTGTGAGTCATCATACAAACCTGTACCAGGTGCACTCCCCAGCATTGTCCCGTTCCCTTGCCCTGTGATGCAGGCATCAGGCACGGCATGTAGCTCAGAATTAACTCCCCAAGGACAGCCACACAGCGTGTAACAACGTGTTACAGAGTCGGGGTTGGAACCCAGGTTTTAGTCTTCTAGTCCACTGCTTTTTTTTTTTTTGCTTATGCCCAGCTTCTCATTTATGTGAAAGCAATTAGCAAACAGTCAAGTGCTGGTCAGATGCATGGGATTTTCACGTGCCTCCCTCTGAGTAGGCAGAAGGAGTATTTGGGAGAGGGGACTAGGTACCTAAACAGTGCCGTTCTCAATATCTCTACACTGTCACATAGTAGCACCTGGGGGCCTCTAACAGAGTTCAGGGTGATTCCTGGGGTGTATAAGAACCCAGCCTCCAGAACCTGACTGCCTAGACTTGAACCCAAGTCCCTTGCTGTGTAACTTGGGACAAGTTTTGCATCCTCTGTCTTCAATGTGCTCATCTGTGAATTGGGGGTAATAATAGCACCTTCCTTATAAGGTTGTCCTGAGGATCCAATGAAATATTTGGTGTATAGATGGAGCACAATGCTTGATACATCGTAAGAGTTTGGTCAGAATTAGCTGCTATGGTTGCTATTACAATTATTCTTGGGTATCTATTGAATATGCACTATGTAGTTGTCGAAGTCAAAGCCGAGCAGCCTCACCTCATTTCTGGTGCCCTTGACGAGTGCCAAGCGACCCCATGCCATATTTGAGGGAAAGGAACCCCAGATCGCTTTAAATCCCAGTGAGGGAGTCGGCGGCTCTTTATCTGTCTGCTTCACTCCCTCTGCCAGCCGTAGAATTGGAGTGAGGGACAGGCTGGAGGGCCGGCCAGTGCGGTTTCAAAGGAGCTATAGAAACGAGTTATTTTTTTCTCTGCTCTGTTTTCCTGACAAGGGAGGCCCCTCCCTAGCTTCCAGCCCTTTTCTTTTCACCTCTTACCACCTCCCTCACCCCCACTACCATCTTCTGCTCCAGTCTTTCTTGGCCATTTAATTAGCGTGTTTATTCCCTTTGTCTGGCACTGCCATCGACCTTCTGTCGTCCAGTGGCCCCTCCCCCCACCTCTCGCTGCCCATGACCTCTTCAAGCAACTTTCCCACGGAAAAAAGGAAGACCAGGGAGGGTGGGATGGAGAGAAGGGTTTGGGGGGAACAAAAGGCCCTGTGAATTATTCAGGGACACAAGCAGGGGGCTTCTAAAGAGAAGAGAGAGGGGGGCTGTACAGGGGGGGCGCGTCGCCCCTGTGGCCCTCTCCTCCAGAATTGAGGCTTCTCTATCTCCAGTGAGGCCACGGTTGCTGGAGAGACCAGAGCATTGTTCTGCCTGAGGATTCCTGGGTTGGCTCATGACTCCCAGAAAAACACTGCTTCTCACCATGGTGTCTGCAGGACCACCCTCCCGCCTTCGACTCCCTTCCCCTGCCCCGTGCCAGCTCTTCTCTTGTCTTAGTTTTATATGTGAGGGACAGAAGTGAAAACTTGCACCCTCCACACCTGGGATCCGCCCAACAGAATGAGGGCAGAGGAGGTGTCTTCTGATTGGCCAACGAGCCGCCAGGAAGACAGATTTAGCTGAGTTGCCTGGAGGAAGTGGAAGTGCCCATGGGCTGCTCATTTCCAGGAGGCGGGTGTGACCCGTGCGGACTGCATGGGCCAGTCTCCGTGGTTCTCATTTTAACCAGTACCAGTGGGGGAGGGGTGACCTGTTGCCACTAACTCGACAATCCTAACTACCGCCCAGGATTCAACTTGACACTTGATGGCCTCAGGAATCTGAGAAAATTGGAATATTACAGCTGGAGACTGTATCCAGCCCAGCTTCCTCTTACAGTTGGGAAACAAAAATGTAAATAATCAGCTACATTTGCATAGGGCTTGGCTATTTACAAAGTGTCTGCTCTAGATCCTCCATCCTCACAGGGGCCCACTGGACAGAGATGTGGAGTGCCCTGTTTACCCAGATGTGGTCAACAAGAGCAGAGAGGCCAGGTGGCCCACCAAAGGCACATGTCACTGCACAGCTGGACTGGAAGGTGGACTTCTTGGCCCCTTGGTGGGGGAAGGGCACCTTTCTCTACACCCTTCTGTATTTCATAAACAAGTATCCCCTCCTCCCCAAACTCTGGTGCCACCCAGAATCTAGTGACAAGCCCTTCTGCCATTCTGTCCCTTTCCTGGCATAGCAGGGACACCCACCTCTCCCACAGTGACCACAGGAGTCCCAGGCCCCACATCAGACCCTCCCTCTCTTCAGACCTTGCCCCCACCCCAGAGTTCTTAGGCTGCCTTGGGGGGGGGGGGGGTTGCTGTTCGAGTTGGAATATTTCCTGGTTAAGCAGATTGGGTGTGGAAACCTGCCAGTCCAGTTTGTGGGAACAAAGGTAGCTTTTGTCACCCAGATCACAGCGACTTATCAGCAGCAGTGGGGGCCTTGGAGTGGTGAGGGGTCAGGCAGGTGTGGGGCTGGGTGACACGCTGCCCCCTGGTGGGGAGCAAGGGGACAGGCACAAGAGGCCAGACCCTTACTCCCAGCCTCTCCAGAGGGAGCCTGGTAAGATGGAGACTCAGCGGTGGTTGGGGAACCCTGGGCTTCAGCTGCCATCTGGTTCTTAGGTACTGGGATGGGAAACTGTCAGGAAAGCTCCCTGGCATCTTCTAACCCCAGAGCCTCACAGGTGTACGGATAAGAAAATTGAAGCCCAGAGAAGTTAACGGATTTTGTGAAGTGTTCCTGGCAGGATTGGGATTCGAACCCGGTCTTCCTGACTCCCGGTCCACCATACTATGCCTGGCCCCGTGGGGCAAGTCACAGGGTTCAGAATCTAGTCTGTGCTCTTTTTCTGGCCTACGCTCCCTTGTTTAGAATTCCACTCCGGCCATCTGGGTTTGATTTATCCCGGGGACAGTTTGTGGAGGGGAGAGTACCCTTCGGTGGCCTGCTGAGACACAAACACTCCCACATCTGTTATTTCCACATCCTTCTCACAACCCTGGTGCACATGTTGTGGTCCCTGGGAAGGGACAAGAGGCCCTAGAAGACTCAGCATAGCCGGGGAAGCACCCCTGGGCAGGCGGGGGACAGGCAGACTCACGGCTCAGCCCTAAGGTCCATTCCAACTGTGCTACCTCTTAGACGTGGGTTTATCCCTTCCCGCCCTGAGCTTCGTGTTCTGTCTGCAGCGTAAATGACAGGATGACTTAGACATGTGAGCGCAGCGTCGTGAGTGGCTAAAACTCTGGACTCTCAGGCCAGATTTCCTGAGTTCAAATCCTTGGCTGTGTGATTGTTCACATTCACTTAACCTCTCCGTGCCTCATCTTCCCTGCCAGTGACAATAGGGTTGATAATAATAACACTTCTTGCGTAGGCTGCTGGAAGGATTGGGTGGCTTCCATATAGTCAGCAGTGAGAACGTGTGGGGGGCACGCACGTTAGTGATGCTGACACATGAATGAAGGCTCAGGGGCTGTCTTGTTCACTGCTGTGCTCCTGGCTCAGGTCGAATGGACAAATAATAAACAAAATAAGTAAACAAGCCAACATGCTCTCTCTCCCTTCTCCTATTTTCCCAGCACCACCCTACCCCACAGGAGAATCGCCGGCTCCTGAGGCTGCCGGGCTCCTGGAGTCATCTGTGACCCAGGGCATTGGCCTCTCCAAGCCCATGTCTCCCTTCCAGCCCAGCTGTGGAAGCCTGGGTGGCGAAGAGGGGGCAGGGATGGCGCAAGACCCAGCCCCACATGTGCCCTATTTCCCGAGTTGGCGCCGTGGGAGGCCTCGCCTTTCCCAGGCAGCTGCACCATCTCCTCTCCAGCTTGGCTTGAGTTGCTGGGAGAGGAACAGAGAGAGGAGGAGGTTTTGCCTGATATTTATATTTCTCAGGGAAAAAGAGAAGTAACAGCTGTTAGAGCAATGGTTCCCAAACGGTGGACTGGGGACTGGCGGCATCTGTGTCCTCTCCACAGAGTGAAAATGTGGGTTTTTGTGCCCCCAGGCGGGCCTGGGGTGCTGGCTCTTTCAGAGCATCTCAGGTGACTGATGTCCACCCAGGTGTGAATCTGTTTCATTATCCTTCCATTCCTTCAGCAAATGTTCACTGAATGCCTACTGGTGTCAGGCTTCTGGACACAACAGACCAAGAAATTTGACCTTGCAGAGTTTAGGTTCTAGAAGGGGATATCATAAACAACAGCTTACTTTAAAAGATCGTGAGTTCTGAGGGGGGAAAAATACAACCGTGTAAGAGGGTTTAGGGATCCCAGAGTGGGATGGTTGAGTGGGTAGCAGTATTAAAGAGAATGATCTCAGGAACCTCACTGAGAAGGCAAGATATGAGCCAAGAGGGAAGGAGGTGTAAGAAGGAGCCAGGGATGTACCTGGTGGAAGAGCATTTAGGCAGAAGGAACAGCATACACAAAGGCCCGGAGGCAGGACTTGCCAGCTATGTAGGAGGAACAGCTAGAGCAAAGAGGCAAGTGATATGAGGGAGAACAGAGAGAGAGGAGGACTGGGGTGGGGAGCATGGGCAGAACGTGCAGGGCTGTGTAGGCCTTGCTGGGACTTTGAGTGAACTGAGGAGACAGTCTGAGTTTTGTGGTCTGGGTGGAGGAGTGACAAGGTCTGACTTAGTGTTGAAGGTACCATCTCAGGCTACAGTGCCAATGATACTGTTGTAATTCGTGTTATTAATAATGGAAAAGGAGCAAAGGGAAGACCAGACATTGTAGGCGTGTCCTTTGGGCAGCTTCACTAGGAAGCTGCAACTTTGCACTCCCCAGGGAACCACTGGCCCATTCCCTGCAGATCACTGGGGGAAGGGGTCCAACAAAGGGGAGATGGACATTTGTACAGTGAAGTTGGGGTGACTAGGGAAGTTACTTGCCTGTCAGTCAAGCTTGGGGAACCATGGATTGGCCAGAATGGGTGGAACCATTGCAAGACTGAAAATTTGGGAATACACAATCCCCTGAACAAAGGAGTTCTTTCTCATGTTGCCCTTGACTCATGGCTCTTGGCTTCCCTGCATTCGCCTACGTGGCCCTTGGCCATGCAGACCCCACATGCAATGGCCTAATGGACTGCAGCGGGAAACCCAAGCTAAGCTAGCCTGGTGCTGGACTGGACTCGGCTCCAACATGGAAAGGAAGCTCTGGACACTGGCTCTGGTTTTAGCTCTACTGAAGCCCCAGCTACACTTCTTCTGTGACTGGACAGAAGGAAATGAAATCTTGTAAGCTCAGGGTGTAATTCCATGGAAATAACACTTTCTACAACATCTCATCCTCCCATGCAAGTCTCAGAAATTATTTTTCTCAGGGTATCACAAGAAATCCACCCCCACTAACAAGAAGTCAGGACAAGGACCTCTCCCCACTGGTAACACTAAGAACTTGCTGCGTCTTGCCCTGGCCGGTTTGGCTCAGCGGTTGGAGCGTCGGCCTGCGGACCGGAGGGTCCTGGGTTCGGTGTCCGCTAAGGGCACGTACCTCGGTTACAGTTTGTCCCCGGCCCTGATTGGGGTTGTGTGGGTGGCAACCACTCGATGTGTCTCTCTCACGTCGATGTTTCTCTTTCTCTCTTCCTCCCTCTCTCCCTCCTGCTCTATCTGAAGATAAGTGAAAAAATGTCCTCAGGTGAGGATTAAAAAAAAAAAAGAAAGAACTTGCTGTGTCTTTAGTAGAGATGATTAGTTTCTGTAAGAAAAAAAAAAAGGGAACACTTCACTGGGTGAAAATTTGAGGTCCCAACACTGGCTCATTTTGGCCCACTTTTCATAACCATAATGCACCGGCTCTTTCCCTCCACAGGGTCCCCACCGTCCCGGTGAAAAACCTAAATGGGTCCAGTCCTGTCAATCCTGCCTTGGCCGGTAAGAGAAACCCTGGGCTGGTCTTGATGAAAGTAGAGCCATGAAAACGGCAAAATAGGCAGTACGCATTTGCAAAAGAGGGAATTCCGATGTTGATGAAGACAAAGAGGGATTTTAGGAGTTGGGTTGGATGAGCAGGAAGAGCGTGGGGAGAACGGATGGCTAAAAGCTGTTGAAGATGAGCAAATGGATTGGTTTCTGGGAAAAGCAGAGGGTGAGTGGAGTCGGTGAGTGATGAGAACCCTGTGGGGAAGCGGAGAGGAGGTTCAGGGGAAGGAAGGAGTTGGGGGGTGTTGGGAGCTAACTCTCCAGTCCTTCCTGACTCAGGCTCTGCCCTTCCAGGCATCACTGGGATCCTCATGAGCGCAGCGGGGCTGCCCGTGTGCCTCACCAGGCCACCAAAGCTGGTCCTCCACCCACCCCCCGTCAGCAAGAGCGAAATAAAATCCATCCCGGGGGTTTCCAATACAAGCCGCAAGACCACCAAAAAGCAAGCCAAGAAAGGTATGAGCCTCCTTATGGGGGACGGGGATTCAAAGACCTGGCTCCTGGCCCTGGCTCCGCCTCCACCACTGAGGGTCAGCCCCAGGACTTACCCGCTCTGTGCCTGAATTTCTGCATTGGCTAAGCAGGCCTCACTCATACCTGTTCTGGTGATTATACCACTGTGGACTCTGTATGGATCAGATGGAGACTCCTTAAGAAATATAACAATGCAGTGCAAGACTATAGAAACATATGAAAATATGAAGTGTGACACACATAAAATGTGTTAGAGAGAAAGATCACCTTGGCATGGGAACCCGAAACAGACTAGATTCAAATCCCAACTTTGTCACTTGCAAGTCATGACCTCAGAGAACCTCTGTTTTCTTACCCTTACCCTGGGGTGTAAACAGTCACACTCAGTATCCAGCAGGTATGCCCTGGGTGCATCCATGACAGTAGGGAGTGGCCAGTGTCTTGTGTCCCTCTCAAGCCTCCAGACACTCTGTCCATTTGAACGCTCTTTAGAAACTCCTTTCTACCTGCCCACAATCCCGCAACTGAGGGGTGCATACCTATGCCTGCCCAGGTACTGAAGGACGCTGCCTCCGCCCTGTGGATGGTCCTTCTGGTAGCTGGTATTGGGGCTAAATGAGCTGACTATCACCCTTCAGCCCCCACCTCGCAAACGTGATGAAGGTTCAGTTGGATCGAGTGGACACTGCACTTAGCCCAGGGCCTGGCAAGAGAGGCCGGAAGGTGGGAAGGAAGGGCCGGCATCCAGCTTTGGGCTGTTGCCTGATCCACTTCCTCCAACCCTTGTCCTACTTTTCCAGCCTCTCAGACTTTCTCTGCTTAAATGAACTCGGTCGCCCTGCTCATAATCCGATAGGAAATGACAGGAATTTGCACTTTCCCACTCTTCCTGTTATTATTAATAGCACGTATCGGATCCTTAACTGGCAACGTGCTAAAAGGGCTGCCCGTCCATTAGCTCATTGAATTGTCAAAACTACTCTTGGAGCAGGTGCTACTGCTCTTGTCCATTTTATAAGTGAGAAACGGAGGCTTGGAGAAATTAAGCGAGTCGCCCGGAGGCGCTAAGGCCGAATCATCTCATTCCCTGCCTCCAGGCTGGGCTGCCTTCAAGGGGTCCAGTCCCCAAAGAAATTCCAGAATCACGGCACCTGCAGGATGCTTCCCAGAGCATCAGCCTTTCCCTGCTTCAGGGCTACATCTGCTGGAAGTACCCGCACCGGCAGCAGCCAGGGAAGACTTTTCTAAGCGGTGGTCATAACTTCCCGGCTTCCCAGGAAAATAATATCGCTCTGACGCCACGTTATAGATCGAGACAGGACTTGGCACGTTGTAAAATAAATGTGATAAGCGTCCCTAATGTTTGTTTTTTTAAAAAAACCTGTAACAGTGTACAGAGTGCTTTTATTTCTTCTATCTTATCGCATTGCTTGGGCAGGTCCAGGCTCTTGGATTATATGAAATAGAAACCCACTCAGTCTTTCTTACTAAAAAGTGGGTCTGTTGTGAAAGACGGGGGAGGAGGGGTCAGGAAGCAATACAGGGGGGAAAGGCGGGGACATTTGCCTCCCCAGCTGGGACCACTTCCCACCTCCTCAGACCACCTCTGCCGCGTTTCCCTTTCACACTTGTAAATCCCGTTGCAGAATGAATGTCTTCCCTTTCCTGCTTTTTTTTTTGTAATCCTCACCCGAGGACATTTTTCCATTTTTTTGTTCAGATAGAGTGGGAGGGAGAGAGCAGAAGAGAGAGAGAGAGAAACATCGACGTGAAAGGGACACATCGAGTGGCTGCCTTTAAGTCCTGCTTTAAGTCAGGCTAATAACGCTCTCCTCTGGTATGCTCAGCTTGGCGAAGCTGTTTGATGGCTTGTCTCAGTCTTAGTGGCCTGTCCCCACAGGTAAAACCCCAGAAGAAGTGCTGAAGAAGTATCTGCAGAAAGTCCGGCATCCACCAGAGGAGGTGAGTCAGGGACCACAGGGCTGGGCTCCCCTTTTCCGCCCCCCACACACCCCCTGCATCTCCTCTGCCTGAGTTTTTTTTTTTTTTTTTTTTTCATATTTTGTTCAGATAGAGTGGGAGGAAGAGAGAGAGAGAGAGAGAAACATCGACGTGAAAGCGACACATCGAGTGGCTGCCACCCACACGACCCAACCAGGGCCGGGGACAAACTGCAACCGAGGTACATGCCCTTAGCGGGAACCGAACCCGGGTCTCTCCGGACCGCAGGCTGATGCTCTAACCGCTGAGCCAAACCGGCCAGGGCCCTCTGCCTGAGTTTTGAGGCAAGAGCTGCTTTCTAAGTCCTGACAGGTCCGAGCTGGTCAGAATGGACTCCCGCTTGGGCTCCAAGGTTGGTGGTCCCGAGCTGCAGCTTAAATTCTCTCCCAGCCCCATCCAGCGAAGAGCTGATTGATTCTAAACTACCTTAATATGACAGTCTGAATGTAAGAAAAACAGAATGAATAGCCGTGGAAACTGACTTTAAAATGGGCTGGATGAAGATCAGTGGTTCTCAACCAGAGGTGGTCTTATACAACTTTGGGGGAGAGGGGATGCTACTGGTACCTAGTGGGTGGAGGCCAGGGATGCTGCTAAGCTCCGTCCAATGCCCAGGACAGACCCCGCAGGAAAGAATTGTCCAGCCCCTAAGGTCGATAGTGCCGAGGTTGATTTATTGCAGATTTATTTAAATAGCAGTCCCTCTCCTATACCAGAGTTATAATTCCCACAGGAAAGTTCAGCTTAAAGAAAGCATACCCATGGTTCTGTGGGCAGACATTTGTTTCCCTCACAAGCCACTGGAGGACACCAAGGAAGGATGGTGCATCGTCACAGCCCGCAGGATTGTAATTTTGTTGGCCAGCCCAAGTTCACGTGTACTGACACCAGGAATTATTTCAGGAATTTTTCTGTGGTGTAAAGCAAGACAAAACTATGTTTAGATTCCCCAAAACACATATACCCTAGTTAGTGGGCTTCCTAAAGAGGAGCAGTAACAGTTCGCCTGGCCTCCGATGATTTGGGAACCAACGTGGGGATGCTCCAACCTCCCAGGCTGGGTGAGACTTGATGGCTTGTCTGCTCTGCCCCACCACCCCCAGGACTGCACCATCTGCATGGAGCGCCTCACGGCCCCCTCTGGCTACAAGGGCCCGCAGCCCACGGTCAAGCCTGACCTGGTGGGAAAGCTGTCCAGATGCGGCCACATCTACCACACCTACTGCCTGGTTGCCATGTACAACAACGGCAACAAGGTGAGTGCCAGAACGGGGGCGGCTGCCACTCCCCTCACCAGCCCTGGAGGAGCCGGAGCCTTAGGACCCTACTGGAGTTGTGCGGGGGGTTGTGGGGAGTCTTAAAGGCATCCCAAAGTATCCGGAGTGGTCATCTCGGCTGCTCTCAGCAGGATCTGTCTCCCACAAAATTATAATGAGGCAAAACCTATCTTTATCTTCCCTTTGGGTTATGCTACCCAACCCTCCAATCTCTATATGAGGTTCTGAGAGGTATAGACTTCTGTCCCTGAGGTTTTTGAGGGGAGTGGTCCATTGTCATGCCTGTTGCTGGGTGCAGTGGGCCCCCCTCAACGAGAGAGAAGGAAGTTGTCTTCACAGCACTGGGCCCATGGTGAGCGTTCATTCATACTGACGTAGATGGGTTTCCCAATCATCCTTCCTTCCTAAGACTAGGGATTTTCAGTTAGAATTCACTTTCTTTGGACATTTTCAAAACACCCTGATTGCCCCTTCCCAGGCATTTGGGACTATTGCCAACGTCTACCTGGTAATCCCTTAAGATCCCCTGCTAGAGGAGGGGGTGAGATGCCTGTCCCGTCAGTGCTGACGGTAGTACGGCGGTATTCCCCCGTCAGGGCTGGTTTCCAAGGATCTGGGCATGACCTTAGATGGTAAGTCCCTCCTTACATGTCACAACTTTTTCTAAGTCCTTGACTTTTCTAATGTTCTTTCTTGTACCTGAAATAGACTTTATCCCCCATGTCCATGAAGTTAAACCCTCCGGGCCCAGCTTGGATTTCATCAGCGTCTGAGATTCCTCTCATCTCCTCCAACCTCTTACTCATCCAAAAGAAATGTCAGGGTTTCAGGGGGCTGCTGTGTGCTTCTCTAGCTGTGGGAAAGACTAGAGGCCAGAGAGGCGGCTGACCCAAGATCGAACCCTGGCTTAGTTGCTGAATGACCTTGGGCAAGATTTTCAACTCTTGAGAGTTCACTGGCCATCTGGAAGATGGAGAGAAAACAATGCCTACTTTATAGAGTGTTATTACTATCATGACTCAAATTGATACCTCCTTTGTGCTCCTTATGGCTATAATTTGTTTCCTTCATCTTTATGTAACCCTATGATTGAATTTCCCAAAGTGCTGGGGATCTTGCTCCGTGTCTCATGAAATGCATGCTCAGTCACTCAGGGGTGACGCAAATCTAGATCCTGTGCTCACTTTCCTGATCCTCCAATAAAAGTTTCCGTTGGAACTTTGCATTTTTAGAGGTTTGGGGGGTTGAAAGGGGTTTCTGAGCATATTCCTTTTGTGAAGACTATTCAAGAATAATCTAGTACCTCCTTGCATTTACTTCCAGGGTGCTTTAAACATGTTTCTTTAGACACTATCCCTCATTCTCTTTGGTGCTAATACTTTGAAGCATGTGGGGGTTTTTTGGTTTGTTTTTTTCTTTACACAAAAGAGGAGAGAAAAGGGCCCAGAGAGAAATGGAGTGACTCACCCAAGGTCATGAAGCAGGTTAAGGCCCGAGCAGAGAGTGGCCCCCTGGCTTCCTGCCCCTTGATCACATGAAGTAATTGCCCTGAATACAAGCTCTGCCTTTAAATGAGTAGAGCTTGAATGAATGCCCCTGCAGAGCTCGGCAGAGGACCCCTGCCCGCCAAGGAGAGGGGGTGTCCCGGGAGGCTTGGTCCCAGCTGTGCATTTGCGACCCACAGCTACCTACATGCTCAGCCTTCCTTCCCACTCCCTTTCTTCTTACAAGCCAGGCTCTTCCCCCTCTCCTCCAGGCGACACCTCACCGGGCCCTGCTGTGAAACAGTGACCCCTTACATTACTGCAGCCAGAGTCCCCCACACCGTGCCCCCAGCAGAGCCCCGAGGTGCATGCACAGCCTGGTCTTCTTCCCAAGTACAGGGTCTCTCTTACCTGTCCCTTAGTATGGGGCCTGGGGCTGTTCGTGGAATTCACCTACTGTTACTTTGGAGAAATGGCCTCAGTAGCCAAAGGGGGCAGGCAGTTAAGGTCTGTTATTCATTTGGGTGCATTCTGTCCCCCAGGCCCTTTGTCCCCAGTACCTCTTGGGGTTGGGTGGGGAGGTCGTTGCTGAAACCGTTTTTCCCAACCTGGTTGTCCTGGCCTTGTCTCCTCAGGACGGCAGTTTGCAGTGTCCAACCTGCAAGACCATTTACGGGGTGAAAACAGGGACCCAGCCTCCGGGGAAGATGGAGTACCACCTCATCCCCCACTCGTTGCCTGGCCACCCAGACTGCAAAACCATCCGGATCATCTACAGCGTGCCCCCGGGCATTCAGGTGAGCCCACCCCAGCCTGCGACTGTGATCGCCTAAATGTTCATAAGTGAATGTTTTTCTCAGTCCATCCAGGCGGCAGTAACAAAATCCCCAGACTGGGTGGCTTCTAAACAACCTATACTTATTCCTGGAAGCTGGAAGTCCAAGATCAAGGCGCCGGCACTTCCGGTGTCTGGGGAGGGCCCTTCTCCTGCTTGGTGGACAGCTGTCTTCTCTCAGTCCGCGCAGGTGGAAAGGGGCGGGAGCTCTCTGGGGCCTCTCCTATAACAGCACTGATCCCATGGATGAGGGCTCCACCCTCTTAACTCGATCACCTACCAAAGACCCCACCTCCTAACACCATTATGTTGGGGATTAGGTTTCAACGTATCAGGTTTGGGGGGACACACGCTTTCCATCTCTAGCATTCTACCCCTGCCCTCCCCAAATGCATGTCCTTCTGGAATACATGTATCCCATCCCAAAGAAACCCGAAGGTGTTAACTTATTCCAGCATCACCTCTAAAGTCTAAGTTCAAAGTCTCGTCTAAATGGCACTTAAATCAGATATGGGTGAGACTCAAGGTACGATTCATCCTGAAGCTCATTCTTCTCCAGCTGTGAACCCGAGAAACCACACAAGTCACACGCTGTGGAACCTCTCCAGACGCGGCATCTGCCAGCACCTTGATCTCGGACTGCTCAGCCTCCGGGGCTGTGAGAAACGAATTTCTGTGGTTTCAAAGCCACCCAGTCTGTGGGATTCTGTTACAGCAGCCCAGGCTGCCTAGACAATGTTACACCCTGAAAAGTCTTCTTCCCACCCTCGCCCCCCATCTACGGGGTCTCCCCTCCCCCACGGCCCCCATTGTTCTCACTTTCTTTTGTTTCTTTGCCCGATGCTTTGTGCCCCCACAACAAAGACCGCATCAACTCCTCCCACTTTCGTACAAAGTGGGACATATTGTTCTGCACCCTGCATTTTTCAATGGACAGACTAGTCTGTATATCTTTCCTCGCCCGCATAGCGAGAGCTTCCTCCTTCTTTCTTGGCTCTGCGTGGTAATCCATTGTATAAAGCTACCGTAATTCATATTCAACAGTCTCCGTTTGATGGGCATATGGATTGTGTCCAGTCTTCGGCTACAGGAAATAACACTATAATGAATAACCTTGTACGCATGCGAGGATGTCTGTAGAATAATTTTCTAGAAGTGGGATTTCTTTGTCAGATGGTATTAGCATTTGTAATTTGATAGCTCTTCCTTGGCGCTGGTTTTTGTGGGCATTTCTTTCCTCTTTTGATTCTTTGAAAGACAAATGGGAGGATTTTCCTGGCAGTAAATACAGACATGTTCCTCCGTCACACATGGAAGCTTTTTCTAAATGCTCTCGGGTGCTTCCCGGAGTCCGTTCTTCAGTAAATACGTATCAGTTCACCCTTTCTTTCCCTCGTCTCCTTGTCTTTTTCCGTTTTCTCTTTCCTTGAACAAACGTGTGAGCGTGGATTATGGGCCAGGTTCACTCTGGATGCCAGAGAAACCATGGTGAGCCAAAGGGCCCAGTCCTGGCTTCCCTGACGCCCCCATTCTGGTGGGAGGAGGAAGACAACAAACATACATAAACAAGGTTCTTCCAAATAGAAACAAAACAGGGAGATGGGATCGCCTATAAAATAATTGAGTGAAGAACATGGTACTTCTTCAAGGGACTTACAACCAGTCAGGGGGAAAATATAACTGTACGTCACTAAACGACGGAGCAAAAGAGGGCGGGCACCTCCCTAAAAGCTGTGGGAGGCTTTCGATTCCTGGCTGAGCCTCACGAGCTGGGGACTTTGCACAGCCACGTGACCTTCCTGACTCGGTTTCCTTATCTGTGCACCTGGAACCTGAGGCAGGGGTTTGGGGAGGATGGCAGCTAAGGTTTGTGTGTGCATATTTTGGTGCTGGGCACAGCACTGTGGTGCTCAGCCCCTGATCCCATCACTACTGAGTGTCCGACTGGCCAGGGTAAGGAGGAGGGCCTGTGTCTCTCTCCCCAGGCGGGTCAAAGGAGACTTTCCTGTGCAGGGCAGTTGCTGGTAGAGCCTTGAAAGACATGAAGAAATGGAGAAGACAGCCCGGCTGGTGTGGCTCAGTGGTTGAGCGTCGTCCCGTACACCCAGAGGTCAATGGTTCCATTCCTGGTCAGGGACCATGCCTGGGTTGCAGGCTCAGTAGGGGGTATGCAGGAGGCAGCCATCCATGTGTCTCTCTCACTGATGTTTCTATCTCTCCCTCTCCCTTCCTCTCTCTCTAAAAGTCAATAAAGACGTATTTAAAAAGAAACACAGCCCTGGCCGGTTTGGCTCAGCGGTTGGAGCGTCCGCCTGTGGTCCGGAGAGACCCGGGTTCGGTTCCCGCTAAGGGCATGTACCTCGGTTGCAGTTTGTCCCCGGCCCTGGTTGGTCGTGCAGGTGGCAGCCACTCGATGTGTCCCTTTCACATTGAAGTTTCCCCCTCTCTCTCTTCCTCTCTCTCCCTCCCACTCTATCTGTACAAAAAAATGGAAAAATGTCCTCGGGTGAGGATAAAAAAAATAAAATAAAATAAAAAGAAACACAGCCTGGCCAATGTGACTCAGTGGTTGAGCATCGACCTATGCACCAAGAGGTCGCTGGTTCGATTCCTGGTCAGGGCACATGCCCAGGTTGTGGCTTGATCCACCCAGTGGGGGGCGTGCAGGAGGCAGCTGATCGATGTATCTCTCTCACATAGATGTTTCTCTCTCTCTCTTCTTCTCCCTTCCTCTCTCTCTAAAAAAATCAATAAAGACAAATATTTAAAAAATAAATAAAAAGAAACATAGAAGAGAGATTCTAGTAGGAGGAGGCTGCAGAGTCACAGAGGAGAGAAGGAGGGGGTGTGTTGAAGGGCCAGAAGGAAGAGTTCAATTTGGGGCCTCCCCGTGAAGGTCATGCCTTCCTTGCCCTTTCTCAGCCCATGGAGGCTTGGGCTTTCGTGAGGAGTCGGGACCTTCACGCTCGGCCTTCACTGCAGAGAACAGTTCCCTGGGGGAGAAACACAGCCCAGTCGTGACTGCTCCGCTTAGCAATGCACCAGGAGCACGCAGCGCTGCTGGGTCCGTGCCAGGCAGACGTCTGTGCTGCACACCGCGGGCATGGCCCAGGCAGGAGAGGCAGCCAGCGCCGTGGTGCGAACCGGCCCTTCAGTGAGGCAACCTGGCTGAGAAACAGCCGTGGCCATGGGACGTGGCAAATGTGGTGATTTGCTATGAGCATGAAATGCAGGACCGTGCAGCTCCAAGAAGACATTGTCTTTCAGCCGGGAGCGATCCTTCCCTTCTCTGAGACCCCCTCCCCGGCACTTACAATGCCGTTCAGTTTGCAAAGCCATGGTGGTCTTCAACCATACCATTAAAACATTGGCTTTAAATCCCAGAATTTTCAAGTCATTTTTGGAATCACTCTCCATAAAAGAAAAGGAAAAACCCATGATTTCTTGCAGTTTGATCATTCATTCGTCCGTTCACTCGCCCATCTCAACTGTGGGCAGCTGGCGTCAGGGCAGGTATGGAATTGCCAAGATTTTACTTGTTTTATCTAGAAAGGGTTTTAACATGGGTTTCACAGACTCCGAGGGGGTCAGGATACTCAGAAACGATAGACAAATATCTGTGTGCAGGGAAAAAAATATGTCACTGGGCAAACATCCCTCGCTTTTCATGAATTTCTCAAAGAGGGGCGTGGAGCCATTCTGGACCCTGACGGGGAAGCTGCTTCCTGGCTGAATTCCGCTTCTGCTTCTTTTCTACCCAGTGACCTGAGACAGCTCAGTAGGACTGGGTGACGGTGGTTGAAATGTTGTTAGATTTTTAGTCATGAATTTCCCAATCCAGATCATTAAACAAACAAAAACCCCACGAGGACAAAGGAGAAAATGCACAAGAATCGTTCAGAGTGTTCTGACTGCGCAGCTCAGAGCTTAGAGGTACTTGGATTATTCTGGAGGTTCAAAGCCCAGAGTGTGCCTCAGAGACCCTGGGCTTCAGTTTGGGCAAAGCCGTCCACCTTACAGGGGTCGTTTCACCGGTGAGGGCTGTGTATTCCTCTTTTGTGAAGCTGAACAGTCGGAATAGATGGCGATGGTGATGCTAAACAGGTACTGAACTCTTAGCACGCAAGCGGGCGCCACGTCCCTGAGCATTCACGACACGCGGAGGAGGAGATGCCACATCCGTCCTGTTTGGTGGGTGGGAACCCAATGGCCCCAGAGGCTGCAGCTCACACAGCTGGGAGGCTGCAGCTCGGGTGCGAGCCCAGGTCTGAGGGCCCCACTCCCGCTGCGTCTGGGGTCTGTTCTCTGCCCAGCCCCTACGCCATTGTCGTCGCCTTCATTGTTTGCACCAGTCCCAGCCTGCATCCCCTGCATCTGAAATATGTTGACATGCCCTTTGTTTTCTCTCTTGGCTTTCAGGGGCCAGAACACCCGAATCCTGGGAAGAGTTTCAGCGCCCGTGGCTTCCCGCGACACTGTTACCTTCCAGACAGCGAGAAAGGGAGAAAAGTAAGAGCCGGGGTGTCCGGTTATTTTCTTCTGTATTAGGGACCCAAGTTTTGCTTCCTGCAATGCACAGGGCACAGAGAACTGGGTGTCTCTCCGCTCTAAACGCACATGGTAACAAGGTCCTACTGAGTCAACCATAGGTAAGGGTGAATGTGACTAGAATTATTTCTGTAGGATGGTGGGGGTGGGGATATTCCTGGCAATAATTCATCTAGTTTAGGATGCTTCTTAGGACTTTGCTGCTTAACAGCTAGTCCTTGGACCAACACCTTGGAACCTGTTTCATTTTCTTTTTTTTTTTAATCCTCACCCGAGGACAGTTTTGCATCTATCTTCAGATGGGGGGGAGGAGGAAGAGAGAGAAAGAGAAACATGGATATGAGAGAGACATACCAACTGGCTGCCACCCACGCAATCCCAACCAGGGCCAGGGACAAACTGCAACCGAGGTGCCTGCCCTTAGCGGGAACCGAACCCGGGTCTCTCTGGCTCGTGGGCCAACACTCCAACCGCTGAGCCAAACCGGCCAGGGCTCTCCTTCATTTTAATAAGATCCCAGGTGGTCTGAGAGCACACTGAGGCTTGAGAAGCCCTGCTCTGGGGCCAGGAATGGTAGCTCTTAGTGTTAATATCTACTATTACTATGACTACGACTATTACGAGTTCCCAGCCCAAGCCCACACCATGTTTACAGTCACGCAATTTTGAACCCAGTACATTTTTACCAGGTTTCTTCTTCCTGCTGGACAGGGTGTTAGGTGTGTGTCTTGCTCAACAAAGATAAATGTTTTTAAGTTGTAGCTGAATTAGAACACTTCTGCAAGCCCTAACACCTCTCCGGGCCTCACTCAATAGTAGCTCCTGCCAGACCTCACTCGAAGTGTGGTTGTGAGGACCAGATGAGCAAAGAGAGATGAAATGGCCTTAGAGGTCAACCATGTCATTGCAGTAATATTTCACAACGTTCGCTGTGGGTAAATTAACACCCCGGTCGGGTGGCGGTGGGGTGGCAGGCACAGCTTCAGAATATCTCAGATCAGAAGTGCCTTGAACTCCTAGGTCCTATCTTTTAAAATGCAGCTATGGTTTTGGTACCTAACATTGGTTGAACAGTGTGTTCCAGACGCTACTATTAGAGTACTTTTCATGTAGCACCTGCTAAATGACTCACAGCCTTTAGAGGCAGATCATACCATTGCCGTTTTATAAATGAGGAAATGAAATCTCAGAGAGATGATATATCTTGTCCAAGGTCACCCAGTTAGGCACTGACAGAGCCAAAACCTATCTGCAGGTCCCCAACCTCACATCCAAATTTTCCCTTCACTTAGGCGGCAGGACGCAGGAAGGGGCGGGGCCTTCGCAGGGCTCCACCCCAAAGGCCAACCCCGAAGGCCTGACTTTGGTCGCCTGCCTTTCCTCTGCTAGGTTCTGAAGCTGCTGCTGGTGGCCTGGGACCGCCGCCTCATCTTTGCCATCGGTACCTCCAGCACGACGGGCGAGTCAGACACTGTCATCTGGAACGAGGTCCACCATAAGACAGAGTTTGGCTCGAACCTCACTGGCCATGGCTACCCAGATGCCAACTACCTGGATAACGTGCTGGCTGAACTGGCTGCCCAGGGCATTTCTGAGGACAGCAGTGCCCAGGAGAAGGACTGAGCTGGAAAGGCTTTGGGAGTCAGGGGGTGTGGGGACCACAGGGCAGGAAGTGGGGAGAGTCAAGGTAGAAGTCGGTGCTGTGCCCTCCTGACTCCCTCATCTCCCCTCCTGTCCTGGCTCCACCCCCCAGCCCTCCCAGCCACAGTGGGGGAGCCATATTGAACAAGGGGACATCATTCATAAACCTCATCCATTATAAAAGGGACATGGGATGAGGGCCATGGAGTTTTCGGTGCTGGGTAGGCAAGAACACCGCCCCTCCCCCGCCCGTGGGGGCATGTCAGCACACCCAGGGTGTGGACAGCACATGGGCTCTCCGTACCCTGACCTGGTGAAGCCTGAGGTCCACCACCTCAGCTGGCTTCTTGCTGCTTCCGCTTCCAAAAGTGGAGTTTCTGCTCTTCTCTCCTCCTCGGGAGGCGAGGAGCTCTCACTGTGCAAGGTTGGGGGGCAAAGGGGTGAACCGCTAAACTGCTGTGACACCAGGAATCAACGCCTCGGTGTCGAGCGAGGAAGTGCTTCTTGCCAAGAGGGTCAGGGAGGCAAAGGCCTCTGGGAGCAGGCTCAGCTCTCAGCGTCCTCGGCTTCCCGGGCCCTCCTTCCTCCTCACACCACGGACCTGTCCAAAGAGGCATCTGCTTCTCTCATGCGGATGGATGGGCTCCGGATTCCTCTCTGGGTGGCTTCCCAAGATGTTTCCAGCCACTCGCTGATGAAACCAGAGCCTGCATCCCACTTAGCATCCGAACTGTCCTCAGGGAGAGGAGCCCATAGCCTTCTTCCCCATCCATCCCAGACCAGCTCAAAGGTTCCATGTTTCATCAGGTCACTGTGAGTAGAGCCTGTGCCGGGCGCTGTGCCATCAGTGTATGTGCATATGTGTGCGTGTGCACGTGTGTGTGTGCGTGTGTGCCCGTGCGCACCCCTGCGCCAGGTTGGTGGAGGCGCCCCTCATGTTCTCTTGGTCTCTTTTGCAATATGTCAAACCCAGTTCTGATGGGGATCGGACAGCCAGGCTGTGGCCCCTTGACTCCCCTCACTCTTTGCCAACCCATCCCGTGGTGAACCTGGACCCTGATGGAGGCAGAGCTGTGTGTGGGGAGATGAGGGCTGGACTGACTCCCTTTTTCTATCTCTTTCAAGATTGGACCTGAGCCAGTCTCCATCCAGCCTTGTTTCTCTGAAGGCTGCATTCTGTGTCCATGCAAATTGGTTAGTTAGTGCCCAGGGGCAGTGCTGGGCCCCTCATCTCCCTCGTCTGTCACAGATCGACCTAGAGCACGAGGGAGCCTCATTCGTAACAAGATTAGCATTGCCTTGTGGTCTAGTCCAACCTGCACCTGGGCTGTGTCCCAAGACCCTGTCTCCTCCCTTATTCCTCTTGCCTACGGCTCCCGTTAAGGGGTGAATTGGGTGTCGGGGAAGAGAGAAGGGGGTCAAGAAGGGAAACCCTACGCCCCCTTTGAAAGTGGGTTCTTTGAACTATATGTTTGGGGGAAGTTCCTCTGGATACTAATTTGAATTTATATACCTCATGTTTTGGGGGTTTGACGTATATATATGCATATATATTTCATAATATTTGGAAGGTTTTTGATGCTGGGAAAATGGAAACTAAAGAACCTTCAAAAATGGTACTTAAATGAGAACCGGAAACGAAGCTTTCCTGAGAGCTGCTCGCTGTGAGGTCGCAGCCGTTTTGTCCGTGTGACCAGCGCGTTTACCGGAGTCTCACCCAGTTCCCCGGACACGCTGGTGCTGCCTTTCCTCATGTCCACGCGGCTCTCGGGCCTGGCACCGGCTCCAGCAGAGGGAGCTCTGGTGGGAAGAAGTGTGTCTGCCCTCTTGGTTCCAGCCTCGCCCATCGGTCCACAGCCGTGTATCTCACAGCAAACTGGGAGGTCGGTCCCGAGTTCGCTGCACCACGGAGTCGTTTCCTGCCACAGCTGGGAAGGAAACATGAGCTCCATGGAAGAGACGTCCCTGCAGTGTGGAGCGTCACACCCATGCCCTTGCCAGGCTACCCTTGTCAGGTGTCTGCTGAGCGGGCCACCCACAGCGATGAGGAATGCGACGGGGTGGTGGGCAGGGGCAGGGCTGTGCCGTAGGAGGTGGGGGAGGAAGAAGACGTGCTTTGACAATGGGCAGTGGGGAGAAACCAATTTTGTGCATCAGGCAGAGAAAGTGTGGGGAGGGAAGGGGACCCAGAGAGCGTCCAAGGCAGGCTGTGCGCCAGGGGCAACACCACTTTCAGAATAAGTCTTTATACCTTCAAGCCTTTTCCCGGGATGTTGATTGTCTGTGTCCCATGTCTCTTCCTCTTGAGGATACTTACTAGGGACAACCTCATCCTCATCTACTTGTGGGACATTCCGGGCAGAGGGATCTTGAATTCCCTTTCTAACACTGTGCCAGGCAAGGCGGGAGGCCTTCGTTTGCGCTTTCTCTTGAGCCGACTTCGAAAGGTAGCATCTGGGGTTCGGTGAGAACTCTGCCAGCAGAGGCCGGGCACACCCACTGCTTTGACACAGGAGTGTCCCCGCGGGAAGGCCTGCCGAGCCCCCTGGCCCACGCAGGGACTTCATGCCTTTCCATTCATCATCAGCACCAGCAGCCCCGTTCCTCCCTCCCTGAGTCTCCGGGGATGACACACCCTGTCCAATGCTCATCCCTAAAGATGAATTGTGTGTATGTGGTTGTGTGTGCCTTTATGTGTGTGCCTCTGTGGTTTTAGACTTGCTCAGAAGTACTCGTCCTGGAATTGCACTGCCGTGTGCACGAGGACCGGGTGGGGGAGGCCCCATGTGGTACAAGACAGGGCCCTGTCACTTTCCTTTGTGGTCGCTGGCATTTGAGTGGGGGTGGGGTTCTGGGAGAGGGCAGGTGAATGTCCCATGTAGTTCTTTGTAACTGGTGTGTTTTGAAGTCCTTGGTGTTGCTCTGTGAGAGGACATCGCCACCTGGTGCTCATGAGGTGTACATGCAGAACAATAAACGGCAAATGCACAACCACAGATCGTTGTCAGCCTCCTTTCTATGGGTCAGGGCACCTAGCCGGGAGGCATTTGGGGCATCTCCCCGAGCCTGTAAGCAACCACAAACCCTTCCACACATTTGACCGAGGGACCTGGCTTGACCTCTTGTTCCTCTAAAGAAAACAGACCATATGACAGACGAAGTAAGTCAATGACCCTGCGGGGGAAAGACTTTAAAAACGGTGAATGTCCACTTCTTAAAGTTCCCCTCACCTGAGCACACTAGAGCGTATGTTCCAATAGTTCACAAGCTGCTGTTTTTCAAATACGTGTTTAGCACGAATCATCCCGATATCAACAAGAACACAATAAAATGAGACAGCAAAGCCGCCTTTGTTCCCCAAACGTGTCTCCAGAGTGTGGTTTCTGAAAGCCAGCTGGCCTTCCCCAGACCAGCCTGGGCTCACCAGCCAGGAAAGCGGGGCTCAGGAACCCTCCCTTCTGGGTTCTGACTTGGTAAAAGGACTTGATCAGGTATACTGTGAACTCCCACACTCCGATGTCCTTGGGGGGAGCGGTCGGGCAGAGGGTTTATGAAGTACCTATTTTAATGCATACTTATGTGCAATTTTGCTAGTCAAAATATAAGTGTGCAACGCTTTGCATTTGAACGGGCGGTCAGTGCATCAGAGGTCTGGAAGCCCACAGCTGTCCTTCGTCTCTCTGACTCAGTCATCTTCAAAGAATTCCTGGGAAAGCCATTCTTTGCAAAAAAGTGGTTAGCTTGGCTGACACTTAACCCACAAACACCCAGCGGTGCAGAGGACCGTTTTCATGCTTAAGAGGCGGGGTGAAGTGAAGGGGCTGGAGAAATCAGTGTCCCTGGCTGGGCTGTGGAAAGAGCAGGGCTCACGTCTCTCATCCCAGCGGGAGTTTCGGGAGCATCCTCCTTCCCCGTGTCCCACGGGCTGGGACGCTCCAAGCTCCTCAGAAAAGGACCTGTGCCAGCCTAAGCTACTGACGGTGAATGTGAATCAGGAGAGGACACGTTATCCCTCACAGAAGATCACTCACTAATGACATTAGATTCAATGAGAAATAGATAACTTTTTTAAAAGTTGCGGAGGAGCATGGAGGCACCCTGGTAATCACAGTTGGGTGAGATTGGTACTAACACTGGGCGAAGGCCCGTGTGCGAGGTGACAGCCGTGCATCCTGTCCGGTGCTCCCAGGAGCTCAGCCTGAAAGAATGTCACACATGGTGTTGGGTGCCTGTTCTGTTTCATTCAAAAGCGTGGATTGGGTCATGCTGGCCCCTTTCTGTGCAAAGATCGAGGCAAGGGGTTCTGTCCTGTTTGGGTGTTCAGGAGGGTTGTAAAACTTAGCTGTGGGCTTACTTTGACTTCTTGTTTTATTCTTTATCTCCCACCCCCAGAAAAATGCAGACTTCCTGTTGGAATGTGGTGGGAGGAGTTGGGGGGTCAGGAAGGATAAGGGCCACTCCTGGAAGAGGAGGGGGTTGTATTTTGGTTACACAGACCAGGAAACTGCAACATTTAATGACAAGCTAAGAGAAAAGCCAGGTAGGTGGTTGCAGGTAAGAATTCCAAATTCCCCTGAGCACCAGACCCTTCTCCAGTTTTTATCTTTTCTTCGCCCCTTTTCTACAAGGTTTCCCTTCTCCCTTGACATACTAATAGAAGTTTACAAGTTAAAGTTTTTTCTGAGGACTTTACAGTCCAAAGTTGTGGTCTGGTCCAAGTGAGTCTTAAATTGTGGGGAAGTTAGAAAACATCGGGTTTGGCACAAGCAACATATTTCGTGTCAGATAATGTTGAGGTGACCCAGGGGAGATGACACAGAGCCCCCGAAGCTGAAAAGCCTCCTGTGTCTTCTGTGGGGCTCTGTCAGCCTCTGGGAACATGAGATTCAGAGAACTTTAAGAAAAACAAACTAGTTGGAGGGTAACCCTTAAAGGCAGAATTGTTTTTTAATTATTTTTTTCAAAGCAAATATTCTTACAGCTTGTGAATTGGAACCACAGCCAACCTCAGACTAACTGCATCATCTCCAAATCCAGATGTCAACAGTCCCCCTCCTCTCTGTTTACACACATGCATTCCGGTGGAAATATTAATGGTGCACATAGAGAAAAGATACCTGTTTCATGTTTTAGGCCCCAGGATGACTTCTGCTTAGAACATCACAGCTTCTCTCCAACTCCCCACCCCAAACTCGTCCATGTAGCTCTGTTAATTTCCCGGCCCAGAGACCTAGAGAAGTCACGAAGTTATACCTGCTTTGGATTGCACCTGCCACTTTAGTAGTTAGGAAGGCAGAGTGGAGAGAGAAGGAAGGAGAGAGGTACCTGGAGCTCTGTCTGGAGATGAAACAGTTTCCCGGGAGAGATTTAGGCTAGACACGGCTCCTGCTCTTGGTCAGGGGTGACATCCCCTGCCTCTGCAGTGCCAGGAGCCAAACTCTGCCTCTCTTCTTCTATGGCCCGGTATCCCCTCTTCTTGTACTTCCGGGCGCCATAGATCACTAGGGCGATGACAACTGCCAGGGCGGTGGTGACCCCCAAGGTAACCCCAGCAGCAGCTCCTCCCGACAGACCGCTGCTGTCCCCGTGGATGACCTTCATGGCCCTGCGCAGCTCCAACGGCTCCCCCAACCTCCACCGGTTGGTCTGGGAGTTTTTAATCCAGGAGCTGGAAGTCTCCATGTTCGTCACTACGACAGTGTTGGTGGCAGCCTGACTCATGAGGGGTGGCCGGGTGTAAGGTGGGAGCCTGGCAGGGGGCAGAGACCCACCTGTAAAGAGCCCAGACTTGACACAGTAGGACACTTGGCACCCATCACTGATGAGGGCGAGGTGTTGGCTGAAGCCCCCAGGACACTTTTTCAGAGCAGGTGCCTCTAAGTCTTTGGATATGGCAGAATCCACCAAGGGATTCCCAACTGCACAGCTAAAGAACCCACCAAAGGGGACCGAAAACCTATATCCCAGCTCATAGTCCTGAGAGGCACATACCTTGAGGCTTTCAAAGAGTCTCAGTGGAAAATAGCCAGCGGGGCATGACTGGGCGTTTGTCAAAGGGTTGATGCTCTTACTGCCGAAGAGGCCCCCAAAGAGCAGTCCTGAGTCTTCCGGTACTTGACCACTGGCCACGCACCAAAATGCCCTAAATTCTGCCTTTGCCACTCGGAACACATCTTCACACACCGTCTTGCAGAAGACAAAGAGGGTGCACTTCCGGACACACTCCAGGCCATTGTAACCCTCCTCGTGGCCCTGGGTTAGGAGGTGGATGGGGGAGTAGCCGGAGGGACAGGAGAAATCACCAGTGAGTGGATTCTTCTGCACCAAGTGTTGGCAGACCTGGACAGCCTCCTTCCCTGACAGCTGGGTGCATTCCTGATAAACCCCACCAAAGGAGAAGTTGGTCATTTTCCCCTCGCAAGACCCATCATTGGTGTTGGCCTGAAAGTTAAAGTTGGGCGAGTTGAGATCTGTGCATCCAGGGTAGGTGTTGAACGTGTAGTAGCGCCTCACAGCGGTGTCCACCGTCTTAGACAACTTCTTCACCAAGGGCCCTGGCAAGTCAGGCAGCATGTCGGGGTTGATGAAGAAATTCAGAGGCAGGCCAACACGGTCTATGGCCACCAGGTGGTTGGTGATGCCCTGCTGCCAGGTCTGGAGGGTGATGCCTGGGTAAAAAGGAACCCCTCCAATGCTTTGCACCCTGGAGTGGGTTCGGTTTGAGAGGTAGCTCTTGGTGAAGGCATTCTGTGAGGTGTAGTTCTCCTCTAACTTGAAGTTCACGATGTTGAGGAAAACAGCACCAGCAGAGGCTGTCACAACACTACGGCTGCTCTGGCTGTCCTGGAGGAAGGAGGATCGGATGTGGTCCTCCTGAAGGAGGACAGCCCCCGCATCCACACTGGTGATGACATGGGTGCCATAGTTGAGGACCAAGAGCTCTGCCAAGTAGGTGGCCATCCGTGTCTGGTTGTTCTCCAGACGGTCAGAGATGTCCATGAGCAAACTCTTAAACTCTGAGTTTAGTTCTGAAATTGGGTTGATTTTGACTGTGTAGATCAGGTTTCTTACCTGAACCTGAGTGGTTACAGCTTGGTCCTTCACTTGAAGGGTCTTCATCCTCTGGAACTCCGCAGAGAATTTGCCGTTGACTTTGGAAAAAAGGGAGAGTTCTGTGTTGATGGAGAAGGAGGTGCTGCTCTGGTAATTCACCCAGGACTCCAGGATTTCTGAGTTCATCTCCAAGTTGCTCTGTTTCTGGGGAATGGTGAAGATTTCATCGGGGATGATGTACTGTCCATCCTCTGTGGTCCTGCATTTGGTGTAAGTCAAGTCCATTACTCGTCCCATGTCCACATTCCGCAGATTATCCCAGCCCCCTCCAGGTAAGACTTCCAAAACAGGTAGTTTCAAGGCATTCTTGCATTTTTGAAATCCAGTCTCGTCCGTCTCTCCTGGAGGCTTGTCCATGTCAGCCCATGCTGCCACGACCCAGAAGAGGATGGCACCCCTGAAGCTGTTCATGGTTCAGACAGCCTCTGCCCCAAGCCAGCCTCAAGCAATGCCCGGCGAGCTTGGCGCAAATTGAACTGGTGGGACAGACAGCAGTTGCTGAAACAACAAAAAAACTCAACAGTTCTCCTAAAGCCACCAGTTCCTCTTTAGGCTGTTCTGGTTGCAAAATGAAGAAATGAGTCAACTGGAACACTGTGGTCCATCAGGACTTTGAAAACATGATGGTGTACTAGATCTCCCTCACAGTTAACTGCCCTAACTGTTCCCCACAGCTCCCACGCTGCAGCAGCAGAGGGTACTCAGGAGAACTGCAACCACAGCCCTTACTGTTTCCTCCAACGAGCTTTCAGGCTGACAAGGAAAAGCTCTGGTTTTGCTTTCTATTCACTCTTTTGATGTTTCGAGCTTTTTCTCTGACTGCTCTTTCCTGGAACTCCAGTACTGGTCTCACGATGCTGTGAGTGCAGAGGTAAACAGCAGCATCACTCTTACTGAAACATCCTGCCTCCCCCACACCCAGGCTGGGTATGGCCCCGGTTTCCCATTCACCTGAGGATGAAAGCTGTTCCCACAGAAGAAAGGAGTGAAACTCATGGACTTGGCTCCTGTGGGGTTTCATAAGCCCTAACAGTCCCCGCTTTGGAGATGGCGTTATCTGGGGCGGAGCTGAAGGCATCTGAAGAGGATTTCACTTGCTACACGCTGGGAATCTCAGCTTTCATTGTCCCCAGCGTTCAGAGTGAAGGTGAGGGGTCCCCACAAGGTACTGTTGTTTTTTTCCGGATAAAAATGTTTAAACAAAGAGATAATCCACACTAATATCTAGGTTTTGATTTAGCAAAAGCAGACTGTAGCCAAAGAATATATTTGTATACACATTTATACACCGTGTGTGGGGGTGTAGCTGGCAACTATTTGATACCTGCCATTCCATTGCTAAGTGCATATAATCGGTACAGGTGCCTAAAAAGAAGCATGAGTCTTCATTACTCAATGTTTTTTAAAGCAACAATTCATTTATTATATCATTTGAACATAATTTCACAAAATTTCTTTAGTGTACTAACGCTAGGGCATGAGAGCCCATAATTCAGAATAGTGTTTCCAGACTCATTGATCCAGTGCCAGGATTAACTAAGGCTCAGCTCTGTCAATTCTTTGGGACAACTAGTATGCGTCTTAGTACATTTAGTGGTAGCCAGGGAATCCAGGGGAGTGGATAGACTCCCCAGTGTACTCTCATGGCTCCCCAGACCAGACCATGAACCAGATGCAGCGCTGAGGTTGAAAAAGTTATGCTCTGGGATATAAGTATCACTACACTATCACCTGAATACATCCTGGAAAGCCAGTTTCAAGGAATTGAATGACCTCAAATTGCCATGGATGCAACTGACAGTGTTCTCAGAAATCATGAGGCCAGTGGTCTTGTCTCACAGGGTGAGCTTCACTAGTTATTATTAAAATAACAATTGTATTGTGTTCTTAAAATCCAGAAACAGACATTTTGGGTGTATTCATGCCTTAGTTATCAAGCTTCAGGGAATTCACTTATACCCAAGAAGGATTAATTTATGGACCAGTTTCCAGTAGATACTTGGGTAGGGAAGCAAGCCTCTACATAGGATGCCCTGGTTAACTTTCAAATCAGTTGTAAATGTACAGCTCAGTAGAATAATCCAAGAACTTGAAGAAGTGGAGTTCTGTGTCTTTTAGTACTTCCAAAAAATATGTTAAAATATCTACACATTTTTCTTCATACTGTTTCAGAGTTAACTCATCAGAATCAGAAAACTCTCTCACACAGTTTTGAAGACATGCTAGTAATTTTCTACTCTTTCTTATCCCTTTAATAAATCCTGTTAATAAATCTTCTGCAATGAGAGCATTAGCAAGGTGAACGTCGATGATGCTACGTTCAGGTGTTCCTACATTCTGAAACAACCAGTCATTGTCATTTTTTTTGGAGAGCCTTCCTCTTCATTTTTATCACAGCAAAAATTGAAAATAGCTGAAAGAGCCAATAAGAGTGAAATTACATTGCATCCATGTGACAAAACATTTTATTGCCATCATAGTTAAATATTCAAACAATTTCAATGACATGAGAAATTCTTAGGCCATAATGTTAAGTGAAAAAAGCATGATATACATTCAACATGACCTCAACTATGCATAAATATATATAAAAAGACAGATATACAAAAACTCATTGACAGTAATTACATCTGGTTGGTAGGTTTTTGTGAACCCTGAGATGAAAGAATCACTTGACATGACCCACGAAAGAGTTTATCTGCTGAGGTGGACTCTCCATGGTCCACCAATTTTATGAATAATAGAGTCTAATGGCCACTCACTGACAGGGGTTCCTCATGTGCTCTGTATGCCAGGAAGAACCTCAGACTGGACTTTTGGCTTCCCACACTATGCCCTGATTGTTTACGCCATCTGAGTCAACCACTGAAGGCAAGCCCTGGTTTTTCTTCCTACCAATGGACTAAGACATGCCCAGTCCAATCAGAACTATACAAGTCATTTGCATCTCTGCCAACTAATCAAAACTGCATGGTTTAGACCATTCAGAACTGTATGATTAGATACCTCATTTACATAAGACAGCCTAGTTGACAACTGGGGCAGAAACTTTGGCTATAAAAAAAGCTGTGGTACATGTACACAATGGAGTACTATGCAGCTGTAAGGAAGAAAGATCTTTTATCCTTTGAGATGGCATGGAAGGACCTGGAGAGTATTATGCTAAGTTAAACAAGCCAAGCAGAGAAAGACAAATATCACGTGATCTCACTTATTTGTGGAATATAGTGAACTAAACAAACTGATGAACAAAATTAACCCAGAGGACATAGAGGTGGGGTACAGACTGACAAGCCTCAGAGGAGGAGGGGCTGGGGGGAAGAGGTAAACCATAGAACTTACATGCATGTATGGATGACCAAAGAACATAGACAACAAAGCTGGGGATGGGGCATGGGGGAAGGGAGGAGGGTGCCAATGGGAGAAAAATGAGAAACATCTGTAACAAAAACAAATTTAAAAAAAAAAAAAAAAGTGGCCTCCGCCCTGGGTGGTTTGGCTCAGCAGTTGAAGTGTCCGCCTGCAGACCAGCAAGGCCAGTTTTCAGTTCTCGCTAAGGGTACGTACCTTGGTTGCAGTTTGTCCCCAGCCCCGGTTGGGGTCATATAGCTGGCAACCACTCGATGCGTTTCTCTCACATCGATGTTTTTCTCTCTCTCCCTCCCACTCAATCTCAAGATAAATGCAAAAAAAAAAAAAAAAAATGTCCTCGAATGAGAATAAAAAAATAAATAAAAAGTGGCCTCCCCTTTGTCTCAGCGGAACACAATTTAGATTGCTACCTGAAGCTGCGTCTCCCTGGCCGCAGCTCCTTTTGTCTCAAATAAATACTTTTTATTCTTTACTACAGTCCAAAATTAATTTGGGTTTATAGTTGGATGAATTATTTAAATTTTTTTCCTCTTACGTTTCTGTGTTTTTGAGCTCTCAACAATGAGCATGTCTTTAATCACTTGACACATTTTTATTGAGACTCTAGTTAAGTACCCAACACAGGGATGAGTACTGAGTAACCACTACTTTGGACTCAGGAAAATAACAGACAAATATACTTCTTTTTAAAAAAGAAGAATTATTTCTGGAATTTCCATATACCTGAAATGATCCGAAGCCTACGACTCTGTGTTTGCTGTGCTCAAGCAAGTTCTCTCTTCGTGTCCCAGGGAAACGGCGAAAAGAGAAGTGCAGATGAAGGCAATTTCAATTCAACTTAAATTTGCATGCCAGCCGCACGCACCGCTGCTCATAATGGTCAAAGGTGAAGAAGCAGCCCGCACAGTTAGATCTGAGAGTTACACCCACTTCTTCCTTGCTTCACCCCGCTCACCAGCAATTTCCTCTACTTCTTTCTTGTGCTGAAGTACAGACGCCATCGCAGAAACTCTCCAGATGGCCACCCGCAAGGGCCCCGGTCTAAAAACTGAACTTTGGTCTCTAAAAGAAACAGCTGACTTTTCTGCAAACGGTATCCATCTGTGTTACAGAAGCATGATTTCACTTCCTCCAAAGAGAGGCAAGAGGGAAGCCCCCGTCTGCTTTCTTTCTCAGTTTGAGCGCGTGAAAACTTCTGCCATCGTCTCGGGCAGAGCCAAGCTGTGATTCCGGCCTGAGGTTCAGTTCTGTGTGGGCTTGGAGCTGGTCCAGGTGTTTCCGACTTTCGGGTTTTACCACGCTCTGAAATGAAGGCGGGGGTTTGGGGGGGGGTCTGGCTGTGTTTGTAGGGACCGTTTTCCTTTCTTATTTTTAGCAGGAACCTAGGAAAGCAGTCTGAAAACTGACAGTCAAATAATTGCTAAGTGGATTGCAGAACAATGATGTTTACAGACTGTGGAATAAACTTGGATCTAAAAAAAATCTAGGAGATATCAGTCAACAAAGCGATAATCATTTCTTTTCTGAACTGTTGATTCCTAACCCTATAGAGTTGCTTTGTCAGCTTCTTCCCTTCAAAGACTGCTCTTCCCATCCGGATTGTTTGTGTCCTGACCCCACAAATAAGAACAGAGTGGGTTCTTGACTTCAATTAATTTTGTGGGTAAAAGAGGACCCACGTGAAATTCTGCGTATCCCCATTGAAAGCGAGGCCAACATTCAGCAGCCATTTGATTTTGTTTCTCTACTCACACTTTTTCCTTCTAACTTTTCTAATTCTCTTCACCAGCTCTTCCCGTTCTGCTCTCTTTTCTCTTTGCCATTTCCATGTTTGGGTTTGGAGGATACGAGTCTGTGACTTGAGGTGGTACTTCCACTACACTAAAGAAGAAAATTTTGATTTGGCCAAGACTGTCTTTTCTTTCTTCCCCAGGTTCAAATTTTATTTATTTTCTCTCTTTTAAGTTAAATTTCTTGGGGGTGACATTGTTTATAAGATTATATAGTTTTTTGAAGATACAAGTCTGTGATGTATCATCTATACATGGCGTTGCCTGCCCACCACCCAGAGTCAAACCTGCTTCCTTTAGGCAGACATCACTGATCAGCCACAACTTTCACGTCCGCTGAGCTCTGAGGCTGCCTCAGTATTCTCAGCACAGTTCTCCAGGACATTCTAGCAGAAGCCTATTTCATCCACC